CTGTAAAAATTTAGATTTAACATTATTCGCATTTTGAAATCGAATATATCGCACGTTACGTGGAGAATTTAATTAGAGAATTTGTAAAATTCTATCATCGAGATCTCGAAGATGTTAGGTCGTTGAACTTTAGTTTAAATATACACATATGCGACTCATAAAAATGTATAGTAAAATGTTGATACATCTCAATAACAACGACTGTGAATGAATGGCAAGTACTTATTTGTCTCGATTATCGATGTCTTAATAGACTGATGATATTTTTTCTCTCGTTCCAACATTTGTACTGCGCTTGAATTTAACATAGTTTTGAAGATTGAAGAAATATGTTGATAATGCCTAGGTATGCGATTACTGTGATGCGGACAATCCGGAAAAGAGGCATCCTCCAGAATATGCAGTCGATGGAATGGAAACCTGGTGGCAATCACCACCACTTTCCAGAGGAATGAAGTACAACGAAGTCAATCTGACGATCAATTTTGGACAAGTAAGTTCCAACAAAATATCAATACAGATAATATATTTTGTCAATTATATATACCTTCTTATTTTTCGTTCAACTGAGTGATCATACGTTGTGAAATAAAAATGAGTAAACAGAGAATAAGAGAATTGACACCAACAGGAAACAAGTGAGCCCGTGGAATAAGTATTTTATCTGTAACAAATTGCTTTATCACGTAGTAGGCGTTTTCCTGCAAAGCGGGAAAGAATTATCTTCGCATTATTTCCGGAGAACAATAGAAAACGCGGGTTTTAGGGAGCGGGGTAAATGGTACAGCGAATAGATATTCTTTTCATTCATTTCGTCGATGCCTGAATTTTAGGCCGAATCAAAATTTATTTCGATATTTAATGTTTCTCATTGCGAACGTGTCTAAATAGAACCGGAAGAGAAAGAAAAATTCGATCCAGAATGTACTGCTACAAAGACGTACAGCTAATAAAAAATTATAATTAATTAAAATTCGATGCACATGTACGAGACTATGGATGCGTGTTCTCGTTGCAAATCTGGAGTTATTGTCTTTCCGCTAAATAGCTTCTTAGAAGAACTCATTTACGCCACGCTAACATGATCTTTCTCTCGTGCATTCTCGGCTCGTGCGTGCTCGGGAATTTTGAGGGGAGTTACAAAAAACCTCGAGTTCCACACACATGTTTCTCAGTCCTCAGTTCTTTCCCCAGTCCTTATTATGTTTTCGTATTATAATCGTTCTTCATAAGTTCTAAGTTAACAAGTATCCATGTATCGATGTTAGATACCATCGAATAATTGCAATTTATTTTTCTTTTGTATTATTTCTCTGGAAAACAAAAACTGTTTGAATCCAGTTGAATCCTCGTGTGATCCCGATTCAAATAAAAAAGTTAAAAAAAAAATGTTTCCTCCAGGAATTTCACGTGGCATACGTGTACTTAAAAATGGGAAATTCGCCGAGGCCCGGGCTCTGGGTGCTCGAAAAATCCAAAGATTACGGGAAGACCTGGTCACCCTGGCAATACTTCTCCGACACTGCAAACGATTGTTTAACGTATTTCGGTGTGGATAGTTACAAGCCAATCACCAGGGACGACAGTGTCATCTGTACGACAGAATACTCTCAGATCGTGCCACTGGAGGGTGGTGAAATACCGATTTCAATTCTAAATAACCGTCCATCCGCGAAACATTACTTCAATTCGACCGTGTTGCAAGAGTGGACACGAGCAACGAATGTTCGTTTTCGTTTTCTCAGAACGAAGAATCTGCTTGGGCATCTGATGTCCTTAGTGCGGGAGGATCCGACTGTGACCAGAAGAGTAAGTTGTTCTCGAAACCCGTCGTACTTGATCGTTGATAAATTGAAGGGAAACAATGACAATTGTATCGTTGTGTTTCAGTACTTTTACTCCATAAAAGATATCAGTATTGGCGGCCGGTGCATGTGCAATGGCCACGCGGACACTTGCGACATACTGGATCCAAAAATGCCGAAGAAACTCGTTTGCAGATGTCAGCATAACACTTGCGGAGCACAGTGTGCGACTTGTTGCAGAGGATTCGAGCAAAAGAAGTGGCGGCAGTCCACAGCGTTTAAGAAGTTCACGTGTGAACGTAAGAATAATCTCTCTCTTTCTTGCTCGCGCCTTTCGTCCGCTTTAAACGCAAAGTTATTTCGTTGCACGAAGTAAGAAACCGTTTACTTGTTCAGCTTGCAATTGCTTCGGCCACACGGACGAGTGCGAATACAGTGCGGAAGTTGACGAGAAACACTTGTCCTTGGATATTCACGGCAACTACGAGGGTGGCGGTGTGTGTAAAAATTGTCGGCACAATACTGAAGGGATCAACTGCAATCGGTGCAAACCGACGTTCTATAGGCCGCAAGATAAACCTTTGAACGCGACTGATGTCTGTCAACGTGAGTTACAACTTCATTTGTGGCAATGATTTTGCTAGAACTTTCGCAGAGAATACCCTCCGTATCATTTAATTTCTGGTTTTTCACAGCGTGCCAATGTAACGCACGTAATTTGACCGGGAACTGCGCGGATGCCACCGGCCAATGCGAGTGTCGAAAAGAGTACACTTCGCCTAATTGCGACAGTTGCAGTTTTGGATACTACGGCTATCCAAATTGCGTTCCATGCCAGTGTTTCAGCAATGGGACAGATGGAGATCATTGCAAGGCTATAGATGGATCTTGTCCCTGCAAGGTGAATTATGCCGGTCATTATTGTGACCTCTGCGCGCAGGGCTACTATAAATTCCCCGATTGTTTACGTGAGTGAATAGAACCTTTAACTCAAATATGAATTTCATTGTGTAATCGTGTAATTTTTCTTCTGATTTATATAACAAAATTTATAGCCTGCGAGTGTAATCCTTTGGGATCTCTCAATGATAACTGTGACGTAATTTCTGGCAATTGCACCTGCAAGAACAACTATGGTGGAAGGACGTGCAGCATCTGCGAAGATGGCTACTACAATTACCCTCTCTGCACATGTGAGTATATTCAACAAATTATGATAAGATCTCAAGATAAGACAAGTATAAATAGATAAAAGTCTGATATTATTCATTTAGTCTGTAATTGTGATACACGCGGGACCGAACCTGGAGTGTGCGATAAATCGAATGGATCCTGTCAGTGTAAGAAAGGATACGGTGGTCCCAGATGCGATCAATGTATCAACGGGTATTACGGATTTCCAAATTGCAAGCCTTGCAACTGCAGTTTAATAGGCTCATCCTCTATTAGTTGCGACGCCATAGGAAAATGCTCTTGCCTGGCTAATTTCGCTGGAAGAACCTGCAATCAGTGTAGCCCTGGATATTACATGTACCCAGAATGTATAGGTACATAAGATTTCTATTTATAACTGTAACGTTCAGCTTAAGCTCAAGAGTTTATAGTGATTCCTCTACTCTGCTTGGAACACTGTAGTAGAGAAATGTTAGCTAAAAGTAGTCTAACTCTAAAGTCCAGATCAGATTCTGACCATTCAAAGTCATTTTTCAAGACGCCTTTCATGCAATTCCACGTTTTTTTTTTTTATGCCGTATTAATTACTACTTTAATTTCTACACACGTGATAGACTGATATGTGTTTTATAATTGATCCCATATTCTCCCGTAGCTTAAAGAAAAGCGAAGTAGCGATCATTCTTTGATCCTTTGTTCCATTGAATCCATTGATAGTCCTTTATCGTAACCGTAGCCTGCAACTGCGACAGCCACGGTTCGATAGGCGCGTCTTGCGACGTGGAGGGTAAATGTCAATGTCGGGAGAATTTCGACGGCGCCAGATGCAACCAGTGTAAAGAAGGCTATTACAATTTCCCTACTTGCGAGGGTTGCAACTGCGACCCAGCAGGTGTCGTAGAAACATTCCAGGGATGTGGTTCATTACCTGCCGGTGAGCTTTGTCAATGCAAGGATCGTGTCGAAGGTAGAATCTGTAACCAGTGTAAGCCGCTCTATTGGAATCTGCAGTCTTACAACCCTCAGGGGTGTGAGGGTAAATGCAACAGCGAAATTTTCACAATTCACAAATCACAAAATATAATGCGACAGACATAACGATTTTTTTAATTCTATTTCAAGAGTGTCAATGCAACATACCGGGTGTTATTGGAAACATCGGTGAATGTGACACGAAGAGTGGTCAGTGTATTTGCAAACCTGGAGTAACTGACAGGAGCTGCAGCCAGTGCGTGGATGGTACATACAATCTTCAAGAGAGCAATTTCTTCGGTTGTACAGGTATGTAATTCATGTATCACGTGTCACAGTGACAAATCTAAATTACGAACATCTTTTGTTTCAGACTGCGCTTGTGACATCGGTGGTTCTGTAAACCCGGTATGCGATAAGCAAACTGGTCAATGTCAGTGTCAGCCACGTGTCACTGGTCTGACCTGCAAAGAACCTTTGAAAGCCCATTATTTCCCGACTCTTCATCAATTCCAGTACGAAGCAGAGGACGGGAAAATGCCTAATAACATGCCCGTTCGTTACGGTTTCGTTGAAGATCTCTTTCCAGGATACAGTTGGAAGGGATACGCCGTGTTTTCTGTTCTTCGCGATGAGATCATTTTGAACGTCTTCATTCAGAAATCGTCTCTCTACAGGATGGTTTTGAAATACGTGAATCCGAGTAATGAACCGATTCTTGGAACGATCACCATCACCCCTGAAAATCCATCGGAAGTAGAACAACAGTTTAAGGTGAATTTCAAGCCGACTGTAAAACCATCGTTTGTGACCGTCGCCGGAGCCCAAGGTAATCTCCCTTCAGCGATGGTGATGAATCCAGGATATTGGTCGATTAGTATTGCAACTAAGAAGAATCTTCTGCTCGACTACTTCGTACTGCTTCCCTCTGAATATTACGAAGCAACCATTCTAACTCAGGACGTGAATATCCCTTGCGAGGTTGGTTACAAAGGACTCTGTAGACACTACGGTTATCCCGATCTGATGAGATTTGATTCTGTTCACGGTGCTGGTGGATTTTTGAACGAAAATAACGTCAGAATCCCTCTGTCTGAATATTTCATGGACAGGGATGTACTGCAGGAAATTGATAAGGTTGAAGTTCCGTTGGTCAACGAGAGACAGGAGGAAATACACTTTGATTTAAGAATCTCGAAGCCAGGTCTACACGTTTTATTGGTGACTTACGTAACGCCGAAAGACGAGAACATCACGTCAACGCTTCTAATAGAGGCGAACACTGTCGGCAAAGGGAAAGCTACTCTTTATCCTTGCAAGTACACCAGCATTTGTAGGCAGGTAGTAACTGACAGCTACGGCAGAGTAGCCACGATGAATTTCCCTTCGAACTATGTCAGCTTGGTTTTAACCGGAGAACCCACTTCGAACGTAGCCATCGATTCGATCGTCGCTATTCCTTACAATCAGTGGTCTTTGGATTATGTTAAACCAAAGTCGATATGCGTTAGAAAAGAGGGGAAATGCGTGAGAGGTCAGTTCCCGCAAGCTGCGGACGCGAAGAAAATCGAATTCGAAACCAGTAGCACGATCCCTGAATCGGACAGTAAACCTTTCGGAATCTACGACAATAGCACGAGGTTGATCTACTTGGACGATAGAAACACAATGGTAGACATTCACGCGAAAGTGTTACAGCCTGGTGATTATACTTTCGTCGTGCAATATTATCAACCGAACTATCCGGAATACGAACTCGACGTGTTGCTACAAAATGGCAAATTCTACGAGGCAAAGATGTCCGTTCCCCACTGTCCCAGCAACAGTGGATGTCGTAGCGTGGTGAAACAGGAAGACGGCAACATCAGATTCCAACTGATCGAGAATTTTATGATCACTTTCAAGGAGAGCGCCAGCAACGGTATCTGGCTGGACTACATTCTAGTTATTCCAACGGAGCAGTACAACGAAAAGATCTTGAAGAAGATTCAGTTCGATCAGACGAAGGAGTTTATCAAGAAATGCGGATACAATCATTTTCATATCAACGCCACCGAGGAAGGTCTGTGCCGCGATTCGATCTTTTCCTTGACGACCAACTACAACAACCGTGCTCTGCCCTGCAATTGTAACATCAATGGATCTGTAAGTCTCGAGTGTGAGAAATTCGGTGGACAATGTCCGTGCAAGCCAAATATTATTGGGAGACGATGCGAGATTTGCAAAACCGGGTTCTACGGGTTCCCCAACTGCAGCCCTTGCAACTGTCCCACAGTCTGTGAACCGGAAACAGGTGCCTGTATCTGTCCACCGAAAGTTGTCGGTAAACATTGCGATGAATGCGAAGTGGGAACGTACGGATTCCACCCGATCTACGGCTGCGAGGAATGCAACTGTAGCCCGCTTGGCGTCGTCGACGGTGATCTGCAATGCGATTTTCTAAATGGCACCTGCAGCTGTAAGGAGAACGTGCAGGGGAGGCAGTGCGACAAGTGTCGACCTGGTTACTCTCAGTTTCCACACTGCGAGAAATGCGACTGCGACACTAGAGGGACCACCGCGAATATCTGCGATCAGTACACAGCTGAATGCTTCTGTAAGAAGAACGTCCAAGGATTGGCCTGCGACGTGTGCAAGGAAGGCACGTTCAACATTCAAGAGGACAACGAGGAAGGTTGCACCAAGTGTTTCTGTTTTGGAAAAACCACTAGGTGCGCGTCGGCTAACTTGTACAGAGCTCAGGTCTCCGACATGACAAACTGGGAATTGGCAGTGTCCAATGAGAAGAGTGGAAATCTCACATACTTGGCAACGATCCCGCAAGAATGGAACTCGACGAGTATCTCCGTCGGTCTCACCACCAACGACACGCTCGGAAGGATCATTTACTTCTCGGCGCCGGAGGCTTATCTGTGGAAGAAGTTAACTTCCTACGGAGGATTTCTGAATTACACCGTTCATTACAGCACCGGGCCGTTCGGCGAGGCGATTAGCGCAGCTGATGTGATTCTTCAAAGTGCCGATACGACGTTACTCCACTACGCCGAGGAACAACCGCCGTCGTTCACGAATTTCGAGGCATCCGTGGAGCTAATCGAAACGAACTTTATAACCGAGAATCGTCTAAGCGCCACGAGAGAACAGTTGATGGTGGTACTCGAGGATCTCCGAGGAATACACATCCGAGCTGCCTATTGGAGCCCTAGTATAGCAGCCTCTTTGTCCTACGTGACATTGGACGTAACTACAGAGAACTATTCACCGCAGTACAACGTCCCAGCCAGTAGCGTTGAACAGTGTCAGTGTCCACCGAACTATCAAGGGCTCTCGTGCGAGGAATGTTCTCCGGGATATTACAGAGTAGAGTCTGGACCTCACGGGGGATACTGCGTTCGTTGCGAGTGCAACGGACATGCAGATACTTGCGACGTTGAAACTGGCATATGCATAGTAAGTTAATTCAACAATGAAAACATTGGAACGAGTTTAGATATCACACTAACACTGACATTCATCTAAAAGTCTAAAGATCATCAAAGATTAAAAATGCTCTCGTTTGCAGGACTGCAAAGACGGCACTACGGGAGACCATTGCGAACTTTGCAAGCAAGGCTACTACGGCAACGCCACCGGAGGAACTCCCACCGATTGTCTCATCTGTGCCTGTCCTCTACCCTTCCCGGCCAACAATTTCGCCACCGGCTGCGAGGTGAACGAGGAAGGGAATAAAATAAGCTGCGACTGTCTTCCCGGTTACTACGGCGCTCGCTGCGAGTCCTGCAGTTCCGGTTTCTACGGGAATCCCGAAGCCTACGGCGATTACTGCAAACCGTGCAAATGTTCTGGCAACATTGACACGAACGAGGTCGACGCCTGCGATTCCAGAACCGGGGAATGCTTGCGTTGTTTGAACAACACCTACGGAGAAGCTTGCAACCTCTGCAAGCCAGGGTTCTTCGGCGACGCCATCGAAAGGAAGGACTGTCGCAACTGTTTATGCAAGGAATGTGGCCTGGAACACTGCGACAGTTACACCGGCCAGTGCTATTGTCGCGAGAACGTCGTTGGGGAGCAATGCGACCGTTGCGCGGACAATCACTATGGTTACGACACGTGCGGCGGTTGCAAAGCGTGCGAATGCGAAATCGCCTCGGAGAGGAGCCAGTGCGACGAAGTGACAGGCCAATGTCAATGCAAACCTGGCGTCACTGGACGCAGATGCGATCAGTGTGTTCAAGGTTATTGGAACTACGGGCCGGAAGGATGCACCTCTTGCGAATGCAATACCGGATACTCTGTCGGTGTGTCTTGTAACGCCACCACCGGCCAATGTAGTTGCCTGCCGGGCGTCATCGGGGAGAAATGCGACCACTGTCCGTACAGGAACGTGTTGATCCCGGGGCAAGGTTGCTTCGCTTGTGACTCTTGCACTGGGAACTTGCTGGACGTTACGGACGAGTTGTCAGATTTGTTAGACCCTGTCTTCACGGAGTTCAACACAGTGGCTGAGAGCTATTTCACTAATCAGAGGCTGAAGTTCATCAACGACACGGTAAACGATTTCTATCCTAAAGTGAAGCTTTTAGATCCCAGCAGGGTGAACTTCTTGCCGCTGCAGCAAGAGGTGAAGAGACTGCAGTCAGAGGCATCGAAACAGAAACGTGAGATCGATTACACGGCGGAGGACAGCGTGAGATGGAAGCTCGCGGCGGAGGATAACTTGGAAAATATGAACCTTCTGGAGGAGGATGTAATCAAGGAGATAGATTTAGTCAGATCGACGGTTGCCGAAGTGGAGTCGCTGGCATTGAACATTGAATTGGGCACTGGCGCCAAGGTGGACAGCGCTTTGAAAGAGGCTGCAGACATTCTAAAGAAAATCAGAGAGGTGTCGTTTGTGAGTTTCCGCGATCGTGCAACGGATCAAGCTGATCAGGCCAATATTCTCGTTTCGGAAATGAACGAGTACAACGTGCCAGTCAGCGATCTATCTTCCATCGCGGACAGTCTCAGCGGCAAGATCCGAAACGTGTCCGACAAGATGGACGACCTTCTGGAAATTACGTGGAAGGCTCAAGAGCTGGCTAGCCTCGTCGACAGACTGAATCAGGAGAACAGAATCGCGGCCGAGACCGGGAACTTCGATATGGTGAAAAACTCGACCGCCGAGGCGAAGGAAGATTTATTGGCTGGCGAGGAATTGAACAGAAACGCCAGCGGCTATCTCAACGAAGCGGATCATAACGCGAAGGCATTGAAAGTGAACGCGATAGACGACTCTACGGACGTTTTAAACAGGACGATCGAGGAAAACAACGAACTGCTGGTGGATGTGCTTACTCCGGTCCAAAATGCACAGACTCACGCGGAACATCTTTACAATCGATCCATAGATCTCGACAGTCTTTTGACCGACACGAGGAATACCGACGCCGTGAAGGCTGTTTCCGCCTACAGAAACATAGAAACAGCGATAGAAGCAGCCCGTGGATCTGCAGACAAAGCCATTGACGCGGCGAACAACGCGACTAATCTTTCAGGTGGTATCGAGCAGAAGATGTTGGACTCTCGAAACACGGTGTTGAGTTTGTTAAACTCAGCTCAGAGTACTCTGTCGAAGACGACGGGCCAACCAGAGAAGGATTTGAACAACGCTCAGACGAATGCCACCCTGATCTACGCGCAGAATGAGCACAACAGCAAGCTGTTGGATTACATCGAGAAGATCCTGGCGAACATTCAATCCCCTTCTTCGACGGTGGCTCAGGACGCTATGAATCAGGTCATACAAGTGGAGAAGAACATCAAGCTTTCAGTAAACAACATGAACGGTATCGTCGATAAAATCCCGGAAGATCTGAGAGAGACGAAACAACTGTCGAAGAACGTTTCGGAACTGGCTCGTGACATATCCCAGGCGAGGAAACAGCTTGACAGTGTCGACAAGTACTTCCCAAACATCATGAGATTGTTACACGACCTGAACGTAAATCAGAAGTCGATAGACACCAGCGGCAACGATTTGAAGAGCAAAATCGAGGCACTGAAGAACAAGATCGCGAACGCCAGGGAACTTGCTGATCGTCGGAAGGTCGGCTTGACCTTCTACAGGAACACTACTCTCGAGCTGAAGAATCCTGAAAATCTTCCGTTACTGGCCACATCTACTAAGATATCTTTATATTTCAGAACGAACACAACGAACGGTTTTCTGCTTTATCTGGGGAACGAAGAGAACGCTAAGTTGCCGCGCTCGAAGACACACGATTTCATGGCATTGCTGATCGAGAGCGGTTACCCGGTGCTCATCCTCGATTTCGGATCCGGGCCGGAAAAGATCATCAACAATAAATTCGTGTCGGACAACGTCTGGCGTCAGATAATCATAGAGAGGACCGGCAACAACGTGAAACTAATCGTCCGCGAAGATATCGGGGAAGGGAAGGATCGGTTTTACGAGAAGGGGCACGTGTTACCCGGATCGCACACGATATTCGACTTGGATCAGGAACAATCGAAGTTGTTCGTGGGCGGTTATCCATCGTCCTTTAACATGCAGAACGCCGTGACTGCGTCCTCGTTCGAAGGTGAAATGGAAGAGCTCGTAATAGGGGAAGATACTCCAGTCTCCTTCTGGAACTTCATCGACGGTGAAAACAACGAGAAGATCGCGATGGAGAGGGACAAATTGATCAACTTCCAACCTAGCACCGGTTACAGATTCGACAAACACGGGTACGCCATTTTGAGTAAGCGAGACTTCCAAATTTCGCCAGACAGCAAGAAGTTCAGTATTAAATTGAACTTGAAGACGTTCGCGGAGAACGGGCTGATCTACTTGATGGGCAAAGGCAAACAGTTCCTGTCGCTGGAAATGAGAGAAGGCTATGTAATCTATCAGTACGATCTTGGCGAAGGGGCAACCACCTTGAGGTCCTCGAGCAGATACAACGATGGAAATTGGCATAGCCTGGAAGCTCTTAGATACGAGAAAACGGGCGTTCTAAAAGTCGATGGTATGGACGTGGCGAAGAAAAAAGCAGACGGAAACAACAAGAACTTGGTGTCCTCGAATAACATATACTTCGGAGGATATCCACCGAATGCTAAACATCCATACGAGCCGGTGACTAACGAAGGCTTCGAAGGTTGCATCGACGAGGTGGTTATTTTAGACACCATAGTCGACTTGACCCGCAACATTCAGGCATTTGGTGTGGTTCCTGCTTGCCCAGTGCGGGTAATGTAACATCTTCTCTAAGAGTAACACGATTTGTATTTAATTAAATTGTAAATTATAAAAAGAAACGGTGAATATGTCTCGTACTGTGACCGTATCAATTACTTCTGTACCTACTATAGCAACGTTGTTGTATGTATTATTAGACGTTTCTCTTTTTAGTTTGCAAGTTTGGTATCTTTCGAGGAGAACGTACCCGGCTACGTGAGATGGCACAACATCTCGGTGCCGAGCAGTCTTCAAGTGAACCTGAAGTTCAAGACTTTGGCAAACGACGGTTTGATCTTCTACGTGACCGATCATGAGAAAGGTGTGGTCAGCTACTTGTCGTTGATCGACGGTGTTCTCGTTTTCAACAGCCAGGGTAATGAACTACGAACAACTTCCACGGGCATCAAGTTCAATGACAACGAGTGGCACGTAGTCACAGCTACGCACTCGCGCGATTCTTTGAAGCTCGATATCGATGATATTAAGAATTACAGCTTCGACTTGGAAACACCGCCATTGGAGATACCTTATGGCAGTTTGTACATCGGTGGTTTACCAATTGCCTTCGGTATCCCTCAGACCGGTGCCATGACACCATTTGTCGGTTGTATCGGAGATGCAACATTGAACGGAGTTATCGTCAATTTCGCCAACACAACAGAAAGGCCTCACGCTCTCCTTGGAAAGTGCAAGCTGGGAGATCCATCGTGTGAGTAATTGAAAATAATTAATAATTTGAAACATTTAAAATGTTATTTTAATATATTTATATTTATATATTTATAGCCGCACTATCTAAACCTGAGCCAGAACCGGATATGCCGCCTCCTTTGTTGCCTACGGAAAGTACGGACGATAACGTCGAAGTATCTACTCAGATCAGTGAGTACAATGTTGTGGAGCATGAATAATAAGAACGGTGCAGCGATCTAGTCTGTAACTTACTGCTCGGTTTCATTAGACATCATCGACGTCGATATAGAGAAGGACACGGATGATGAGGAACCTATGGTAGAAGGACGCGGCAGTGATTTAACTACAACCACGCAGGCTACTGTTTCGACTCAAAGAACCACACCGTTGTACGTCGATGAATGTCGATTGCCATATTATCCGGGCGTCGATCTAAATACGGAAAATGCCTGGCGTTTCGGTACGATTACTTTTCGCGATTAGTTTTAAAAAATACAGGAAACAAGAAGTTTTGATGAAAGAACGTGTCACTTTCAGGTACTGCGAGAAACAGTAGATTGGAATACAGATCATTGAATGGCAGGTACAAGAATGACTACGATTTTCAAATCGGTATCAAAACAATGGCTGACGAGGGAATTATTTTCTACACGTCGGACCTTACTAATCAGAATTCAATCGCTGTATATATCAGTGACGGAAAGGTAAAGTATGAAATTTCACATCGATCAAAATGTCAGGTAATCGAAATTGATCCGGAGAAATATACTTTAGATAAAACGTATTCGTCTATTTCAGTCGTCAGTAAGACTTATCTTGCATTATGTATAAACAAGTGAGTTAGCAATTAAAATTATCTTCTCTGTTTTTAAGGTCAATTACAAGTTTGACTGCGGAAGTGGACCAGCTTTGTTAATTAGCGATAAAAAAATAAACGACGACGAATGGCACATCGTAGTATTTAAAAGGCAAGGGAATTACGGAGAACTCATCGTAGACGAAGATGAAGCAGTTACAGGGTACTCTCAAGGAATCGTAGAAACTATGAACGTTAATCCGCCGTTTTATGTAGGAGGAGTGCTGCAAGAGATGTCCACCAAAGTCTTTAATACAATAGTAAGTAAATATTATCTACATAAGTTCTTGGTTTTTAATAAAAACCTGGCTACTAATTTCAGGGTATGAATCACACCTTCAACGGATGCTTAGGAAATTTTATGGTAAATGGACAACCAGTTGGTGAGCCTATAAATAAAGTCGGTGTGATTCCATGTTCGGAACGAATCGAACAGGGATTATTTTTCTATCCGGGTAATGGCAGCAATCTGTTTAGAGCAGGTGCATATCGTACATATTTTTATGTATTTAATAATCGGCGATACATTAATAAAATTGTATATAACGATCTAAGTTCTAATCGTGCAATACAATTTTAGTGGATAGATTCACAGTTGGTAGAACGGTCGATATCCAAATGGACATTAAACCACGTTCGACGTCTGGCCATTTGCTGTCTGTCCATGGAAAACGGGATTATTTGGTCTTAGAAATGATTAATGGAACGGTCAAGTTCCTTGTTAAAACAGCAAAGGGTTCGATAGAAACTTCGTTCGAACCAACGAAACCGAATTCCTTGTGCGATGGCAATTGGCACAATATTCGAGGTAATATTTTATTGTAGCTCTTAACGGGTGAAAAAAAAAGTAAATAACTTTTTGCACTTCCATTGTACAGCTGTTAAGCAGAAGAATGCCGTGCTTTTGTCAGTCGACTACAAAGCAGCCGAGCCAGGAATCGGTGGTAAAAATGTAGCGGGAGTTCTATCCAAGCATCCGATCTTCATTGGCGGTCATCCGATGCTTGGAAAGAGATTACGAGGAAGTACTTCGCAATCACAATACGTCGGATGTATTAAAAACATTCATATCAACATGAGAGCTATCCACATGAGTCCCGAACGTGCTTACGGACAAGTCCTCGCAGGCGTATGCCCAACAATATAGGAATCTCTAAGAGCGTTATTTAAAATTTCACTTAAAATCGATTGACGTAACGTTGCAACTACTTTTCTCAACGATCAATCCATTTTCGAATGTTTTTTAACTAAAAAGAAGAGTGTTTTATATATATAACGTTACGTGAGTCCGGTTCATTTCTTTATGAAAAATTTTTATTTTAGTATTCTAAATATTTAAGGTAACTGTTCGAAAATAAGGAGGAATAAATAAGTCATCGGACACCAAGTGGTATATCTCAGGCTCTAACCATCAATGTATTCAAATTTCGAAAAAAATTATTCAACAATCTTAATATGGCTTTAATACAAATTTTTAAGAATCATGTAAAAAAAAAAAAAAAATTTCAGCAAGTGTACAACCCTCGTCCGAGCGCACAAAAGACTGAACGTCGCTTTTTTTCTACTTCTTATGGTGGAAGACTCTACTACCCACCCTTTAATGGTTATTTAAACACTCGATTCATTCACATTAGGCGAATTACAAGTTTTTTAAAGAGAGACGAAATGGTAACGATAATTATATAGAACCTATTGTAATACACAACCAAAGAATACTATTGTATACTATGATAAAAGTCATAAGTTCTATATTATTGATAAAACTTTGTAACTTTTTTGTAAACATAAAAACTTTTAGAAAATTTAAGGTGCTAAATAAATAAAGTAATATAAATAAAAAAAAAATATTGGCAGAATAAATTTTTTAAATTTTAAGTTATTCAAATATAACAGAGGATACAATATTCTCTTCAATTAGCTATTTAATTTTATTGCATTCTTCTTGTGATAGATCAACATTGGAGCCTGATGATTTTGTATCGCTATGATACGCAAACATACAACAAAATAAACTAAAATGACTTGCAATATGTAAAATCAAATTTATTATAACAACTATCAACTTGTATATAAAATTATTTACAATTTATGAGTACGCATGATGAGAAAAACTCTGAGAAAACGACAATTTTCAACATTTAATGCATTGAGTGCTTAAGATGTATTAATATATTGCAAAAATATTTTGGCATTTTATATTTATATTTCATAATATACTTTTTCTAATAATGATAATAGATTTAATTACTAAATATGTAAAAAGCAAAAAGAATCCAATATGAAATCGAAAATTTTATTACAAAATTAATAAAGAACACACTAAAGAACGCACTAAAGAACATACTAAATTACTTATGTTACTCAATGTATTAAAATTGTAAACTATTGAAAAATGTGTTATGTAAATAGAAATAAAAAGAATTATATACAAATATAAATCATGATATTTAACTCATTGTCCAAATGTCCAAAATAAAATATCCATTGCATTTTCTAATTAAAATAAAAAGCTGCTTGTAAGTCATACCAAAAGTCGTACATTCAATGGTATATAATACAATTTAAGAAACTAACTTGCTCCGTATTTGTGCAAAGACAAAAAGTTAAAACTTTGTTATGTATTTATTTAAAAATACCTAAAGGGTCGAATGCTTTTTATATATTGATTATTATAAAACCAATTTCAAAAGAAAACGGTGCTAAGAAAATTCGAAATCATTAATTTAATCATTACGTGATTAATGTTAGTTCAAACTATTATTTGTGAATAATTCTATGAAAATAGCATTCTTATTTTGTAAATTTTTAACGATATATACGACCGTGTTCGCTCAGAGTATATTGATTTATTCAAACGATCGTTGTATAGCGTATTTATTTCATTGTACGTACTTTTAGATATTTTATTAAAGTCATATAAATAATGTTGAGAAAAGAAGAAATTATTCTTCATTTGACATTAATCTTTTAGAACACATTTATATCTTAATAATAGTAATTACCATATTGATAATTTTTATAGTTTTTGTTTCTTACTTGTCTAAAGCATTATAATAAAACACTTACAGACTTCTCTATATACGTAAAAAAAAAATTTCCTGAAATAGTTGACAAATAGTTAATTTGTTAGATGCTGAACAACAAAGAATTGAATTTAAAGAAATGTATATGCAATCGTATGAAAGAACAAAAAATGATTTACTATTTATCATGCAATTTCAGGAATTTTCTCAATGAAATAGTATATCACAGTGTAATGATCCAGACATTCAATTTTTGTATGTGGCAATTGCGTCTGTACAATTGTTTATCACAAAAGGCATGTCGTTTGTTCCTTTCAATACAATTTGAAAGATATCCTGCATTAATTGCAAGATAAATTATGCAAATATCCCAATATTTGCACATAAGTACAAAGGTATTCCATGTACCTTGAAGATTGGTCACAATGAATATAACAAACAACAAAATGGATATACATCAAATTATTTTGACATGCACAGTATACATTAGTATAAAATTTTATTCTATGCCATGTGCAAAAATCATCACTAATCCAGGTTCAACCATCATGTCTTCTGGCATATGGGTATTATCACAAAAAAGAACTAACACTGCTTGTTTACCAGGGACTCTTTTACAAATATAATTGTCATATAGTCTTCTAGAATTCTGTCTGGTTTCAAGCGAATTTAAGCCTGGAGGCCATTTCCTTTCGTGACAATTTTCCATTAAATCATCGATTATATGAGGTGGGCAATTATATTCTGACAAAGTTCTCTTTATCATTGTCTACAATATAATGTTAAATTATTTGTTAAAATTAATTAATTAATAGCATTAATTTATAAATTACAATTACCTGCAACAATTCATCAGGAGTAGAAATCATTCCTCCCCATCTTGTTACTCTTGCTCTAGGAAGAGTAGCAGACCATCTTATAACATCATCTCTTTCCATCTGATCAGCAATTGCACGCATCGCAGGATTTGAAACTCTCAATGCTCTCATGAAATCTTTTAAAAGATGTATTTCCCTCTTGTGTTCATTTATTTGAAGTTGTTGCTCACCTAATTCACGTTTCATATCAGCAAGTTTTTGTTGCTGCGAATGTATAATATTTCTGAGCTCTCTCACACAATTGTGATCTTTTAACTCGTTTTTGGGAATAATAAGGCTACATCCTTGTTCACAAAGCATTGGTCTCTTGGGATTATATTCACATTGTTCCAAATGTGACACTAAACTATCAAGCTTGACTACTACTTGACATCCGTACATAATATTATCACAACTAATACAAAGGCGGGCCAACAGATTCCGAAGAATTCTTGGGACTGCTCTAAGCTGAGCAGATGTAATTGGTGTGCGATCCAATGGACAAGTGGGTTGTCTGTTTATCCATTCATTAATGCATGTACGACAAAAGGCATGTTCACATACAGGTGCCTGTAACATATTGCTCACCTACAAGTCTTTAAGCCAAACTACACTTTCACAAAACTTAGTACTATATGTAAAAATACATAACCAATATAAAATAATACGTCGAATAACTTATGCAATACAATTATTTATATTATTTACGTCATTGTAAAAAAAAGAAATCGAAAGGATAGTAATTACAAATACTTTGACAGAACGGAAGTTGTAAAAATATAACTAACATTATATAATCAATATGAAATTTTCACGCGTCTTTTAATAAATTCGATCGTTTTAAATAATACGACGTATAAAAATAATCGACAACAACGAACATACTAGTCAATGGAAAATAGGACAATTATAGAAACGATGAAAGAAAGAAGGCAGAAAAGTTAGGTTGGTTTTCCGTATACGCATGAAATTTACTTATTGGAAGTGTTCAATAATAAACGAACGGAATAAAGATAATACCTGAACAGGATCCTCTAGCACTCCAGAACATATTGGACAAACAAGTTCCTCGTCAACTTCGCCCTGGAAGCGGTTCACATCGAACCCCATAATGTGAACTAAGTACAGTAACTCGTCCTCTTATGTAGCGACGAGTCTCTTCTGTAAAACTGTGGATCCAGAATCACAAATCCGATGGCGTACGACGTGAAAGCTCCAGAAGTATACCGTTACTTTCTACGAGCAGCATGCAACGTGACAATAGTCACTTAATATAAATGTATCAACTGCATATGCAGGTAGTTCTATTCGCCTGAAATTTTGATGATTTCATGATATACGATTATACATTATTGTAAACCACATAGAGCTAGATAGAGCCTCTTGTTCCAGTCACGCGACCAAACTTTCTTTCTCGCTACGGCAAATTTTCAGAATCACAGTTTGAATTGGATTCGTTGGATTCACTTGAAATTTGAGGCGTACAATGAATTTTGATATCTGACTCGAAATTACGAAATTGGAATTCTTAACAACACGAGGTGTATAAAATGTTAAATTATAATTAATTGTATTTTCAGATTTTATCGTTGCCTCGTGAATTGAACACATTTTCATTGTTGTTGCGAAAGATTTCTGTTAAAGATAAAATTTTATCTGCAAATTAAATATAATTATATATTAGATAAAATTATTAATCTACGAAAGAAGTTCTGGAACGGAACAGGAAATATTAACAAATGATCATTTTTCAATTGCGCGTTCGTGTGATCCAATGATATAATTTCTTATTGCCACTAACGAAATTTGAAATTATCTGAATAAGTCTATCTGAACATTGTTAAATATTTTAATTATAGAAAACGAATCGTCTACTGATTGTACTTATTGTTATCAATAATCAATAGTAATTTGAGCAACCGTGTAAAAATAAGTCTAAGTCAATTCTGTATTTTAAAATCGTGATCTATAAAACATGATAAACGTCCTCAGAATTAATTCTTAACTTGCATGTTTTGATTGATAAGGCTAGATAGCCGTAAAAAGATAATACAATTGAAAAAGGGGATCAGTATTGGGCTTAACATCGTAAGAACAGTTTCAGTTTAAGAAATTACGAAGCAAATATGAGTGAGAGAAAACATTCCGTCAACGAAATACAAGGTATTTGATTTGCATTTAAGAATTTATTTGTTTAATTTTTATTATATACGATATTTCATACTAGAGTAACTAAATGTAATATCTTCCTGGACGAAGGAAAGAATTTTCGTTTGAGGCTAAAGATTAGCAAAATATAAAACAATAGTTGGATTTGTTATGAAACAATTTTTAATATGATATTTTGATAATGTACAAATATTTACTTTTAATGTTTAAATTTCTTCCCTATCAAATAATGTTATCAAATAATGAAAAGATATATCGCAGAAACTTAAAATTCGACAACTCAAGTATGCTATCTAGCGAGTGATTTTTTAAGCCAAGGTTTAAAATTTTTCTGCTTTGAACGTTGAACTTGAATTGGGCATACATTCCAACGTTGTTACATTTTGTTCGAAATGATCAATCAACAAACCATATAATACGATATTTGGCAGGGTAACGAGGGTTAAATTGTTTCATTTTTAATTCAGTCGAACGTTTGATTAAACCGCGTTCCAATTCGAGAGCAATAAATTACTACAGCTGCCCTTAACATTAATAACTGGCATGACAGATTTTTGTTACATAGTTTTCATTCGCAGTGCTGTGGTAATAATAAAACGGTGTTAAATGTAATCCCGTTAAATTAACAATTGTCTATCGTAAAGCGATATCTTAACACGCGGATGATCAATTTTCTCTGCAAGGCGATCCTTCGATTTATTCAATTAAATTCATTTCATCATTCGCCAAAGCGCGATTGTTATTTACGTATTATCGTGTTAAAAAATACGATAGTCAAAACGCATTATCGATAGATAATTGTTGATAGAAATTTTCCTCTACATGTGAAAGTCAATGTGTTATAGAACGAGTAACTTTAAGTGAGATAATTTTTGTTGGAATGAGTACTAAAAAATATAGTTGACACAATTGTTTGAACACTGAAATCGAATAAATAGTAATGTAAAATAAACGTGTAATTGTGTATCACACGATATCGACCTCTTTCTTTTATTACGTATGTATGTTTTTTCAGATTATCTGGACAATGAGAGTAGCATGGACGAGAATCAAAAGGTAAATATTGAATGTTGCTGCTTATCGACATTGAGAAACGATTCATTAAACAATGAAAGTATCATCTTTCTAACTAGTAGTATTGCAGAATGATAATAAATTAACATTGATAATTATTATGTTTCTCGCAGATAAATCATTATATCTCCTAATTATATCATCGATCATCCATATCTTCCCATAATTTGATATTCCACGATGTCTAATTTGCTTCTTTCTGTCATGCGAATAAATAAAATTGGGATAAGTCGATTCGACTTATCATTTCACTTTCACTCGCGTGGGATATCACTGTAATCACTTGCGTAACATTGAAAAACAAAAATACAAAGTGCGAGTTTCCTTAATCTCGAGAAACTTGTTCTTCAATGACGAACACTCTCACTCAGTTGACTGAATTTTATATATATATATATATATATATGTGTGAGCAACAATATCAATGCTTTAACTTAAAAAAAAAAAGAAGAAAAATTGTGATATAATTGATATTTGTGGCTTTGTATATAAATGCAGATAAGCTTGTCCAATATCGTAAGTCACGCCTCTGCAAAATGGATGCCTCGCGAAATAATGTCACGGATACCTTAAGTGGAAATCGAGATCAGATTTCACTTTTTTTTTTATGTAGAAAAATTTGCTTCTTGTCTATTAAAACTCAACGATATAACTATTTTTATTGGAAAATAAATTCCTATGAATTTAATCGTTATCGTTCGAAGCAAAAAGGTCCATAAATAATTCTTCAATCCAGATATCGATGCTTATAATCGTGATGATTATAAAATGATTAAATTTGGATTAAAAACGTAGATTATTTTCCATTTCCTTTCTATCTTTAAGAATGGAGGCAAAACGAAATATTGCTAGAAATTATTTTAATCCCTTTCTGCGCAGTCGTTCTTACCGTATATTTTTTTAAGTAAATTTTAATCGTAATCGCGAAAGAACATTTTTTACGATACAGTATTTAAAAATGATATAACGATGTAATTCAGCAAATTAATGCTATCTTATCGAAATATAGTACCCCGATAAGTGCCTGATCAATAATTCCATATTTCATAATTCGTTTATAACGTAACTAGAAAACGCTTGATCATAATTCAATTGCAAATTCCACAAATTACACTTACAATTGTTCTTTCCTCATGCTTGTAGCAATTCTGCAGGAAAAAATTTTCTTTCCTAGCATTTCGTTAACAAATGTTATTTATACGCGACACCGTTAAGATGTTAACCGTGTATTGAGAGAAGACTTTCACATTGCTTTGAGCATGCAAGACGTACCACTACCTAGCAATATTCGTCAATGCCACCATCAGACTTAATCGTAGCGCTTACATATCGGAGGTACGCGACGAAATCAACAGTGCATGTTCAACTACCAACCGTGATATACGTCGCTTGTTGTTCGTAAATATCGATCTAAACATCATGGTTAACTAGTGATCTATTGACGCATTATAACTCGTTTTTTCAACAACATTTTATCCGAGTTCCTCGCACGAAACTGTTCTCCAGAGTGACTGTTCTCCTTGGCTATTGTACAACTTCTTCCAATATGCCATTTGGCACGTAAAACTTATTGGAGTGTCTCATGGAAATTTTCATAATTCATCTGATTCGCATGATAGATAGTAGATAGCGATAATAGATAGCAGATCACGATGACTGCGGGAAATGATAAAGAAACGAAAGAGGTAAAAATTTCATAAAATTTTTCTTACTTCATTTCAATAAAGCTAGAAGAACTTTCACTTAGAAAATGTAATCTACAACATTTGCTGCTATCGATTGAAATAGTTAAGTAAAAGTTATTTGTATTTTCGATGAATCCACGAATTTTCTTCACTTCAATAACTCTTGCTTTGTTTATTAATTTTAATTAGTTAATTTTCCTGCAAAAAGAAAAAGAATTTCTCCTATCATAATAATTATTTCCTAAATAATGCTGAACATTCTTCCTTTTTTCTAAAAAAAAGAAATACATGCATTTTTCTAAAGATTAATGAATATCACATACATTCACGCGTAGAAATGATATGTAGAATAATGTGATAATACAAAACATTGATATAGTTTTCCTCTATTTTTTTTTTTTTTTTGTCAGATTGTTTCCGATGCATGTTATAAATATAATAATATGTTAAATTATATAATAAATGACGTAGATAACAAGTATTATTACTTGTTCTGTATCGAGTTAGTAAATACTATGAACGATGTTGCTACGAGTATTTTCTTTTGTATTTCACAATTTAGAACTCGCAATTCTTTTTCACCAGTGTGTTCAAATCTTCAAGAATTTCCTTTATCTCGATCATGAAACTTGGCGGGCAATTAATAAAAATTAAACTCGTTAAGTCACTGTCATTAATATAACGTTTATTTTCAGTTAAAAACAAGGCTTTTGTTTTTCTGTTTTTTATGACCAATTAATTCTGCAAATGGAATATGTTTTTATAACCGATACTAATTCTTCTGTAAAAGGAATATATCTCATTCAAATGCAAGCCGCAATTCATTAAAAGAACTCGTTATCGCTTCCATTTATCTCAGACTCAGTAAAAAAGTCTCTGCAAGCGAAGGAAGAAAAAAAAAAAACATCTACAATTTTTAGTATATTTTTAGTAACAATAGTCACAGTACATTTTATTTGATTGTCGCAATTAACAGGAAAAGCTAATCTGTTGATTAGTCACGACATAATTGCGAAACAATTATGTTACTGGTGAAACTAAATGGTCGCTGAATGCTGGTCTCCAATTTCAATTATGTAGTTTCAAGTAGCGTCAACGGCGTAAATAATTATGCGCATCATACATTATAGCCTTCGCATTTTACAACAGAAAAAAAGTAAAATTCCTTTTAATCGGCATCAAACGACAACGAAATTAATCGGGTCACGTGAAACATGCAACTAAGACATTCTTCTCGCATTTGGTTTTTCCAGTTCGCATTCGCGCGGAACAGGTTTTTTTCTCACGTCGTTATTTATATGTTTATTTCTGTAATTAATTTTCCAGAAGCTAAAGTATCCCAGGTCGGTATTCTTCATCATTAGCAATGAATTCTGCGAAAGATTCTCTTTCTATGGGATGCGCAGTACGTAGAAATTTTATACTCATCATTGTAAATATTTTCTCTTTTATTCTATTTCTTCACACATTCACGAGTATAAAATTCCAAAATGATAAAGTTCTTGGAATTTATGTCGTTGTGGAATTTAATTTCGTGTGTCAGTTGTATTAATTGAAGAAGAATCATTTACACAATCGTCGTTATATTATCACTAAAGTACTAAACATTTATTTTAGCTGTACTGACGCTTTATCTAAGAACTCAACTGAAATACACTGATGATACGTCTACCGTCATATATCATGTGTTCACGATGTTGCTGTACTTTTTCCCCATATTCGGAGCGATGTTGGCGGATTCCTTATTGGGAAAATTCCGCACTATCTTCTACTTAAGCATTATTTATGCTGTAGGACAACTTTTGTTATCTTTAAGCGCGGTGCCTCCATTGGGAATACCTGCTAGGTGAGATTAATATTTTATTTTAACCTTTATCCTTTTTTTTTTTTAAATTATGTTAATTATGTTAATTTAGTCACGAATATTAAGAATATATATCAATTAGAAAATCTGGAACTGAAACGTCGTCTAATTGCGGTTGTCATTTTGCAGAGAATTCTCAATAGTTGGTCTAGTCCTTATAGCCGTTGGTACAGGTGGTATAAAACCTTGCGTGGCCGCATTCGGTGGTGACCAATTCATACTGCCGCAACAGGAACTATACTTGTCCACATTCTTCTCCCTGTTTTACTTTTCCATCAACTCCGGATCGTTGGTCTCCACCTTCCTCACGCCTCTGCTTCGTAGCAGTGTTTCATGCTTCGGCGACAGTACCTGTTACTCCCTGGCATTTTTGGTACCAGCTGTCCTCATGGCTTTGTCTATCAGTAAGTTTCATATCCGATACTTTGAACTATTCGTACAATAACAGAACTGTTTGATCTTCCCCTTTAATAGTAATATTCATCCTTGGGAAGCCTTTGTACAAAATAGTCAAACCGACAGGTAACGTCGTTTTGAATGTTTCTAAGTGCGTTTCCGTAAGTTTGACCATTGCTTTGTTTTTAAAGTCGATTTACCCCGTTGCAAGGATAAATGCTAACCGTGTTCGAAATTTCAGCACGCTATCTACAGAAAGATCACGTCGAACGAGAAGAGGATGTATTGGCTCGACTATGCGGATGATAAGTACGACAAAACACTGATAAACGACATTAAATCAGCCCTGCAGGTGTTGATATTGTTCATTCCAATACCGATATTTTGGGCACTTTTTGATCAACAAGGCTCTCGATGGACGTTCCAAGCAACCAGAATGAATGGAGAAATCGGCAATTTCTTGATCGAACCGGATCAAATGCAAGTGTTCAATCCTCTTTTGGTGCTCATTTTCATACCCCTGTTCGAAACTTGTCTTTACCCGCTTATGGCTAAGATTGGCCTACGAACTCCGCTAAGAATACTATCTATCGGCGGTTTCTTAGCTTCGTTGTCATTTGTAGCAGCGGCATGCGTTGAATTGGAGCTCGAGGTAATCAAACTCGTGGCGATTAAATAATAAAACAATAAACACGATGTATACAATGCCCCCTTTTTTTCACGTTGAGTATTTTCTTGCTATTTTCCAGAAAACGTATCCGATTCTACCTTCGAAAGATCTCGCGCAACTACGTGTTTTCAATACTCTCGACTGCGACGTGAACGTGACGGTGCATGATCCTGAGTTATCTATAGCTCTTAAAAGTATGGATATGTGGCAAGACCGGTATATCAAAGCGAATGGCGTAAAAGAATTGAGTTATGAAGCAGACTTTTCAGTTTGCCATCAAGCCGGCATCACAGAAATAGATAAAATTCAAGGTACGTCAGAAAGAGATAGTGAAAAAAATTTAACAAATTTCAAAATTCTTTCTTGCACACGGTTGTATAAGTAATTTAGTGTCACATGTAATGTGACGGTTTATTTTTAGGAAACATCACCGTGTCAGAAAACCAGGCGACTTCTTGGGTTATAACGCAAAAAGGTTTATCTTACAATTATACAGATTCGATAGACAAATCGGATACTGGCGAGCCTCTAATACGTGGACTTATCTATGTGTATCCGCCGCAATCCCTTTCTGTTGAATTGATACAGGATGGTACCGTTGTCTCGGCATTAAAGATAAATGATACTTCTTTCAACAGAACTGAACTAGTTAAAGTCAAACCTGGCGTATACGATATACGTTTGAATGAATTTACAAAGAAAGAAGTATCACTCAGACTTGGCGGAGTTTATACTATCGTCGGGTCTGTCACTGAAAAAGGATCGAAGGCTAACGTTATAACTGTAACCGAGCCAAACTCGATGCACATATTATGGATGGTTCCTCAGTATGTCATTATCACAATGGGTGAAGTCATGTTCTCGGTGACCGGCCTAGAATTTGCATTCACGCAAGCACCTGTCAGTATGAAATCTCTTTTACAAGCTTGTTGGCTGTTAACAGTAGCCATTGGTAATCTCATTGTAGTCCTCGTGGCGGAATTCTCGATTTTTGATCGTCAGGTAAAAAACATTTTTATATTTAAACGCCTAATCAAATATCTCAGTATATGTTTTTGATAAAAAAAAAAAAAAAAAAAAAAAAATAATCGTACACTCGAGACTAGATAAGACTTAACTGGTGACGATCGTGGTTGTTCATTTGCTTTCACGTTATCACAAGTCATGCACTATTCATAACATTAAATTTTTTTCTAATGCCAAATATTTTTTTATTTCTGTCGTTTAGATTTTCGAATTCATTTTGTTCGCGGGATTGATGTTCATCGATATAATTATTTTCTCTATAATGGCGAAATTTTATAAATACGTAGACGAAAACGCCTCCGAAGAGATCATTCATATGAGCGAAAAATCCGGAACAGTTAATACATCTTATCACGACGATGAGAAGTGATTGTATAGTGATTTATGACTGTCCGAAATACAGCATTTTAGTACCTCAAACATTTTCTTACATTTCAACGGTTGAAATTTGAGGAAAATGCAAGGTTTGTACATAAGCACTCTGAACAAAGCGTGTATTTTTAATATTGATTTTTATCTTGCTTCAAAAATAATTAAAATTCATCTATAATACAAATTTCACGTACAATATAGTTGTTGAATAAAATAAAGTTCCAATACTTTAAGAGCCAAACGATAGGTGATTGTGATTCTTATATTCGTAAATTCGAATAAAATAGAATTTTATATGACCCGTAAGTTAACAATGTCTTATCAGGTGCAATTAACAGAATGCTTACATCATCTATAAAATATTTATTACCGTGGAATTTCAAGTTTCGAGATAAAGCGTAACAATGTACATGTAGATACCATATTTTATGGTCATGATACATGATATTTGTAAATAGACATATCAATAGCAATGAGCGTACAAATTTTTGTAAAGTTTTAATTACTGTTTAAATAAAAATTTATTTACTATTCTATTCTAATCTTTAAAGCAATCCCTTACTTTTCACAACGTAGCAAAATGTTTGCTTCCGTCTTAAAAAAGATTGTTGCGTAGAAAAAAGAATCGGAAGTTCTTTATAAAATAAACAATTTATTTAGTAAAATAATAATACATCATTTATTATTTGTATTTTACACCACCTTTTTAATTAATGGAAGAACAAAAATAATAATGATAACGATACATATATATATATACATATATATAATATATATATAATATATATATATATATATA